CAACTAGACTGAAGAACAAAACGACAGCAACTTGTCTGTTCCCCTTCCCCCAATTCCCCAGCACTGTTCCCATCCCCCCAATTACCCAATAAAAAAATCTTAAAAAAAAAAAAAAAAGAATACCATATGGTAGATTCAATTTCCAATTCAGATTAATTTTTCATACCACGAGTTACCCCGTCGTAATACTAAGCAAATAAACATGTGGAATGTATTATTATTATTATTATTACTATTATTATTATTATTATTATTTTATTTTACCTGAGGATCGGAAGACCACCAAGGCAGGGCCCCACATTCTGAGAACGTACTGCACAATGTCAGCTGAATGCCACTCCTGTTCTCAATACAGGCCCAATATCAGAGATGAAGCACAAAATTATGTATGTGCACATATGTGCGCCATGTGTAAACATCTATTTCTAATGTTAATACACTATGTCATTGTTTAGAAAAGATGCAGTAAGGGTCTCTAGGGGTTAGATGTTATTTAAAGTAAGGAGACTCTACATGGTGACAGGGCACACCCTCCCCATGTCCCCTCCTTCCCTGTTACACCTGCCATAAGGGTCATTCCTGAGCTCAAATGTCACAACTGCCCCAGGTGGTGTAAGCACAGATTTGTGGGTACTGAGTGCCCCCTGCTGTCCCGAGCGCCCCCTGCAACCCAGCACAACCCCCATTCCCGTCTCCTGCAGGGAGGTTTGTGTCTGGGCTCACACTGACTTCCCCTCACTGTGTCCCACGCACAGTAATACACGGCCGTGTCCTCGGAGGTCACAGAGCTCAGCTGCTTGGATAACTGGTTCTTGGACATGTCTCTGGAGATGGAGGTGCGGCTCTTGTGGGATGGGCTGTAGTATGTGTTACCACTAGCACATGTGCGCCCGATCCACTCCAGCCCCTTCCCCGGGGGCTGCCGGATCCAGTTCCAGCCGTAACCACTGGTTGTGATGGAGTAACCAGAGACAGTGCAGGTGAGGGACAGGGTCTGCGAGGGCTTCACCAGTCCTGGGCCCGACTCCTGCAGCTGCACCTGGGACAGGACACCTGGGGACAAGGAGAAGAGAATCAGTCTGTCACACGCAGTCACAGCCATCCCATAGACCCGTGTCTGACACCTGAGACCTCACCTTGGGGGGCTGTCACCAGGCACAGGAGAAGACCCAGCAGCCTCATCTTCTAGACCACAGCTCTGCCTTCCCCAGAGACTCAGACCTGTGTGAAGAGAGCTGTGAGCTCACAGCCCAAGGGGGGTTTTACCCTGGAGCCTTCAGAGAAATTTGCATGTGGGGCAGCCTGATCCTGATAAGTGGGGAGGGACTGAGTCAGGCTCCCCTGGTCCTTTTTCAGCCCAGTAGGGTCTCTTTTATTGAATTCACAGCATCTGAGTCAGGGATGAAAGAGCACTAGGCCTATAAGATACAGTCCCAGACCTCAGTGTTCGCCTTCCTGAGCCTGCAGATGCTGAGCTCTGTGGGCAGCTGGACAGCAGTGAGGGGCGGGTGTTCTCTTCTTCCTGGGGAGATGGCCATGGGGTCTGGGAACACATACCCCCTGGGGAAGGGACCCCCGGCTGCATGTCCTGTAAGATGCTCTCGGTGTACACGCTGATGGTGGTGCCCTCGCCCCTGGGTACCTCTGGCTTCCTGACCTTCAAAGTGACCACGGAGATGGAAGTGTTGAGAAGATGCTTTTCTATCCTGGGACTCAGAGATCCTGAGATGTTAGAGAGTCATGGAGCTGATTGAGGGGCTGTGGTTTTTAGGAACCACAAGGGCCATTTACACAGGGTGTCTCTGCCTAGACAGCCATGGAAAAGCTTCAAGAAGTTAATATAATAGAATAATTGGTGAAATTATTGAAATCCAGGATAACTGACATCAGGAGGAATTCTGTTATTCAAGGTTGATTATTTATCTATGAAATAGAAAGCATTGCACTACCAAACTCATGGTTATTACCATGATTATAGGAGATGAAGGCATCACAGTGCCTGGCCCTTGGCAAGTGTGCACATTACCATGACGACAGTGTGTTCTAAAAAGGAAAGTTCAGGACAGGGAATACAATCAACAGTATTGTAAAGACTACAGTGTCAGATGGGGAGTTGCCTAATTGGGGGTTCATGTCATAAATTACATATTTGTCTAACCACGGCGCTGCACACTTGCAACTAATATAAAATGATATTGAACGCCAGCAATATTTTGCAAAATAGTCACACAGACGTGTAGAGCAGCATGAGGAATACAGTCAATAATGTTCTATACCAAAAAAGGGAGGACACTTTTGTGTTTCCAGACGTTGAGAAAACAGCTTCTACTGTGTGGCTGTCAGTAGGGAGTTTACAGAGGATGGAGACCAAACCGTGACAGGAGAGCAGCCCTTAGCCAACTCCCCCAAGGGACAGGAACGGAGTGCGTCCCGAGCGCCCCCTGGTGGTGAATGTGCACCTTTGGTCCCAAAGCCCCTGCAGAGGGACTGACTGTGTCCTCTCCCCTTTATCCAGCATCAGTGTGGGACCCTTCCAGCAACAGTGCTATATACCGTCCTGTTCACAGGATGCTTCATCCTAGTAGTTTTTTATTACCTGACCCTTCCATTTTATCTCTTTGGAACCAAATGTGCCTAACTGTACCCTATGCTTGCCCTGCAGCTGTATTTTGATGACAACTTGTATTCTACTGTCACAGGTGTACAGACAGAGAGGATTTTACACCAGGATGTATCCACCCAAACTGTCACCCATACCTGATTCAGAGATGAGATTTGGGACTTTTGAGATGATGTCACTCAGATACATTTTAGAGTTGATTTCATGTTTTAATGACTTAGCATTTGGGGGGANTGGAGTTGGCTCCTGGGGAGCGACGACTCTGCTGCGCCCCCTCAGGAGGCCCGAGAGAGGCGCTTCCGGCTTCGGGGGCGCCGAGTGCTGAGGCCGCCCGTGTCCCTCAGGAGCCCGGGTGGCGCCGCGGGACCGACACGGGAGGAAACGGTGAGGAGACCCGCCCGCGAGGCCGGCTGAGGGTGGGGTGGGCGTGTCGGTCTTCAGAGGCCCCACGGAAGACGGCGCGGGGTGGACGATCCGGGTGTGTCGTGTTTAGTGTCGCTGTGGGGCCGGGAGGGGCGGAGACTGACTCGGGTTTGTCTGGTGTTTCTTCCTGTTGTGAGGACGAGAGGGGTTTGGGCTGTGAGTGCGCATGTCCGGGGGAGCTGCCCCTGAACCCCAGCCTGCGTCTCCCCCAGGCTGACAGCTCCTCCTGTGGAGACGCAATGGACGGAGGGGCTCGGCCTGAACTCGGGGTCCGACCCGACAGAGGTGTGGAGACTTGGGCTCCTCCTCAGCCCCCCTCTTTCCCGCCCCCCCTTGTGAGAACACACCTGGGCTGAAGGCGCCCTGAGATGGATTTGGGGAAACTGGGGAGCCCCCTCCTCCCTGTGGCGGCATTTTGGTGAATAAGCCTTTCCCGGTCCAGCCTCTGATCTAGTGAATATTCGGTATTTGATGAGCAGACACATGGGCCTTGTGACTGCGACACGCACCTCCTGTGGAGCATTACGATTTTTTTGTGCTACTAAGGAATATATTTCTAGAAATTATTAAATGTTGTCTTTGCCAATCTAAAGAACGCTTGTTAGACAGTCACAGTGCTTACATTTTGTTTTCACTAGAAAGGAACCATTTTTTAAACAATTCTAATATGTGACTAAAGCTACAAAAAACAATAGGGAAAACAACTGTGTCTACAAGAAAAACAGGATACGTCCCTGTATAAACAAAGGTAGAAGAATGGATTATTTTTGAGGTGAGGCCGGGGGCGTGGAGAGGCGTCTACTCTGGGGGTGCCAACCCGGCCCTGTTTCAGCTGCGAGCCCCCCTTGCCAGGGACAAATACATGTCTTAAGTGCCTTTTCCACAAATTCTATGGAGAGAAAGCGTTAACTATATACACAGGGAGCCTGATTTTAGTCCACCTGCCAGAAATACAGCCTGGACCCAGCTCTTCTTTTATGTTATTTTATCCATCCTGTGGCAGCAATTTGAGAATGAAGATGTGGGGTCCACAACAGGCGACCCCAAGATGTGCTTCTGCTGTGTGCAGACTGTTTTGAGCTGAGGGTGATTTTATCTTTTCCTGAAGATAAACGTCTGTCCCTCCCTCTAACTGTCCAGAGTAACAGGAATTAGGGGCTTTGCTCATAATAAGAGATCATCAGCCACCATCTCTGTTTGACCACCTACAGGGCAAGGCAAACTGACAGTCACCAACCATCTGCTCTTATCTCTGCAGTGACCCTTTGAAGCCCCCAGGGCACCTGCGTCATCCCCAGCTCAGGACGTTTTCTGTACCCACGTTCATTTTCTATCTAACTCTCCTGCATGTGGGGTCCCTGACTCTCTTGTATGCGGGGCTCCCTTGTGTACGTATCAAATCTGCTCATTTTCTCTTGCTAATCTGTCTCCTGTCTATTTGATTCTTAGATCAGCCAGAAGAACCTTGAGGGTAGAAGTTACAATAATTCCTCCTGACAGTTGATGCTGTGAGTAAAGTCACAGGTTGGAAGCCGGCACTTCCCCTCGGGCTGCTGGAGATGAGGCCGCCTAAGGTGGGGATTCTTACCATGTGAGCACACCCCAATTCCTGTCTGTAGGCTTCATTGGAAGCCATCATAGTGAGGATATCTTTCTCTCTATTTGTTTTTAGAATTAATTTTATGTTTTTAAGATTTTATTGGGGAATTTGGGGTGGGGAACACACGAGCTGTTGTTCTTCAGTCTTAGTTAGGAGGGTGCAGCTGGAGAGGAATTTTGCCTCGGGATGAATCACAGCTCTGTTCACCGATATCTGATGAGACTATATTTAGGTGAGACTTTGGACCTTAACATTTAGTGTTGATGCTGTAATGAGTGAGACTTTGGGGGCTGTTGGGGGTAGAGTTAATTTATTTTGCATGGGAGAAAGGCATGAATTTTCATGATCCACACATAGAATACTATGGATTCAATTAAGTTCCTCCCAAATGTGTATGTTGGAGTCCTAATGCTCAATGATGGTTTGTAAAATAGGGCTTTGAGGAGACACGTAAGGTTACATGAGGTCAGAATGTGGTGGTCCAGCTCCAATAGGATC